TCACTACCATTTTATTCAAATGAAGGGATATATTAACTACATGAAAAACAACTGACAATTGAAAGTTTCATAACTGTTGTTACTCGCAATAGTGATAGTTATAGAAACATCTGGAACTTCGGTTACATTCATTAAATCTTTAAACCAGAGTAACATCAAACTATTGTCCACCTGGTTGCCGTGTGAACTTTGATATAAATACAAAAAACTTGGAGACTTATTTGTTCTTCGCGTAGGGGAATCAATTTTGTGTCTATTGTATTATATTTTAATATCCGATCGTTTGGACTGTAAAGTTGTAGGGGCTAGTTTCAATGCAATGCAACATGAGCAGTGAGCGTAACAAACTGATCGTCCTGCATCTAATTCGAATATGGCGGGCATTTTGATCGACCTAGCAACCATTACTCTATAACGTGGTTAATGAGGGTTACGTCAATTCTTAAATGTCACGAGAGGGCGTAGATACATTTTCTTGTTTAAAAAACGGTCAATATTGAGTTGGAGTTGAATTCATGTTCTGCTCACCGAAAAGATAAACTAGGCATGTGTAGCATTCAAGAGTTATTATTTTGGCTGGAAAGGCTGAGATGGGACACTTTCAGTTTTGTAACAGAAAAAGAGCATAACTTTTAAAGTAAAGAAAATATCGCATTACTTCACCGTGAAAGAAAACAAAAATTTAGCTGACCTCACACAGGTACTGTCTAAAAATCCTCTGGGCAAAAATAAAATGCATCGGTGCCACGTTTAACGTTGTCTTCCTTGCAGCTATCGTTTGGTCTCGATACACAACGCCTCTATTCCCCGTTATAGAGAGAGCGCGTTGGCGATGGAATCTGATTGATGGAATACAATTCATGCACGTGAAAAATTGCAGTTCAGTGATTGGGAATGTTTGAGCGTTTTTTCATAGTGCGTGATAGATGTAAGTTGTTCGGCGTGTGCGTGTGAGAAATAAAAGCGGATAAAACACCTTTGAAATTAAAAATGATGCAACAAGATGAATGCAAACCTTTCATATCCCGATAAATCTCGACCTCAATCGACGAGGCTCTTGCGAAGGCCACAAATCATTACGCTTATTAAATGAGTCCAAAATTTCTGGTTTATGTCATTCTTTGTGCACAGCTCCCTGATTCCATAACATCATTTACGAGAAAAGAATACCCAAACTCTGTGATTGGTGCAAGATATCCAAATGCTATGATGTGATTGGTGCGAGATACATGCCCTAGTGCGGCAACCTAATTAGTATGAGATACATACCAAAACAACGATAATCTGATTGCTGCGAAATAAATACCCCTATGCGGCGATATGATTAGTGCGAGCAACATATCATTCTACACAGTTTTTATGATAAAAATTACGAAAAAAATTATTTCCGGTGCAGGTGCAAAGCAGCGCTTAACTTGAATAGTCTGTCTCGTCGTCAGAACAATCAGATAGTAAAGGATGTGAAAGTATGTGTCATATCTATCTGTAACTTTAACGAGATTTCTAACGCCTTTTAACGAACACTTTTCAACTATTGGGCCCAGGCTAGCCCGTGACATATCCTCAACTTCGACGAGGAGTCTATTTATTTAGAAAATATTACTTAAAATTACAAAAAAAATTTGTTTTCGTCCAACTACTACCAGTGTCTTTACCCATCCAAATAGATGGTCAAAAACTAAAGCTACAGGACTAGACAATATCTCTGCTAGGTTGATTCGTGAGTGTGTTAATATTATTCTAGGCCCGTTATATGAGCTATTTAATAAATCCCTGATGTCTGGCATATTTCCTGACGACTGTAAATGTACCAGAGTGGCTCCGTTGTTTAAACAGGGAGAGTCATCTATCTTAAACAACTACTAACCTACCTCAGTCATTTCCGTAGTCGCCAAAGTGTTCGAGAGGATTGTGTACGACCAGTTAAACAACTTCTTAAATAGTGAAGAAATCATCTCTAAACAACAATCTGGTTTCCGGTCTCTACACTCAACTGTTACTGCACTTCTAGAAGCCACTGACAGTTGGGCGTTGATTACCGATCATGGTTACGTCAATGCCGTAGTGTTTGTCGACTTAAAGAAAGGCATTCTACACTGTTGATCATGAGATATTATTATCTAAAATGAATCGATGTGGAATTCAAGGTGAAACTTTTGATTGGTTTAAATTGTATTTGACAAATTGCACACAACGTTGCTCAGTTAACAGTTGTCTCTCTCACTTCGCCACTCTTATATGCGGTGTATCTAATTTATATTAATGATTTGTCTAATTGTCTTTTGTTCAGCATACCTAGAATGTATGCTGATGACACCCACATTACTTATGCTAGTTCTGATTTGCATTTGATTTAGTCTAGTCTATCTCACGACGTTGAAAAGCTAAGCAATTGACAGACTTACCCTAAAGACTACAAAAACTGAATTTATGTTGATCGGCTCCAGGCAAAGATCAAGTACTCTATCTGATACACTAGAACTCTCCATCGATAATATTCCGATCAAACAAGTTTCCTCTGTGAAATCACTTGGAATATACATCGAAGAAAATTCAACGTAGCATTCCCACATTGATAAACTATATAAAAAGATTGCTTCTGCAATTGGAGCCATAAAGCGAGTTAAGCCGATTCTTTGTTTCACAAACTCAGCTGGAAAGACTTGAAATCTCAACGTCAAATTCAGAACGCCTTAATACATATGTACATATACTTTATTTAAGCTCGAAATTCAGTGTAGCTGTTGAGCTAATATCTTCAATGATCTTCAATGGTTTTGAAGTCTTTAAACGGGCTGGTTCCCTAATATCTCACGTCTAAATTTATAAAGCCAAATGAATCAAACTGTTCTCTGAGGGACTCGGTAAGCAAACCTGTCCCGTTTTCCAGAACTAATTACATGAAAAATAGCTTTAGTTACAGTGGTGCAACCCTTTGGAACAGCTTGCCCTGTATTATTAGAGTCTGGTTCATTAAATCAATTTAAACGCCTTCTCTGTAGAAATTTTAAACACGGCATTCATGGAAATCAGGTTTTTTTTAATACCATATTGTAAGTTAATATAATGTTTGGACTAAGATTTCTAGGTTTTAGAATGTTAGTCATTGTATTAGAATTTATTGTTCCTGATGAATTTTTTACCGGGTATTAACAAATGAATAAATAAATAAATTACTTTTTGGATTAATGATATGAATTCCTCTGAATTGCTTTTGTGAAATTTTTTTAGCAGATCAAGCCACTGGACAAAGCACTTTGAAAGGGTCTTGCCAAGGCGTCGCTGGGCAACCAAGAGGTAAAAAGAGTTGGTCACTTTAATGGTGTGAAATATGTCTCAAGTACAACAAATAACCCATTTTCCTCTTCATAGAAAAGCAAGGCTACAGAATGATAACAGAGAGGGGGGGGGGGAACCGACGGACTAGCTGGTGCTCAGTCTAACGGTTAACCTGCAGTTCAGGCTTCGTATTGGGGAGAGCTAAAGTTATAAGCTCGCGATCATTTATCCGATCGGCCATGTTTGATTCGGAGTTAGAATTTACGGTAGGGTAGGGGGCGGTGGAAGGGCGAGAAGACGCCTACCTAAAGGGCCTATTGAAAAGCAAAACACTCCTTTGATTAGTTATGCTTCACTGCATTTCCAGAAATGAGCAGGTAACCAATCAAAATTAATTAAATTAAAAACTGGAATTACTGTTTTCCGACTAAAACAAACACACGTAGAGCTGATGAGTGAAACGGTGAGGCAGTCTTTTTTTCAGCGAGGAAAGAAATGGCTTTGACGAAACCTCCTCCGCGGTCACAGATATAAGCTGAAATTTACTGTACTCCATATTTTCCAAACAAAAATCCTTGACTATGGGTGCCTTTACTCTTGCTATTTGACGATTTTTCTTTTATTTGATCGAAAGCGATACTTTGAAGCACAAACAACAGCACCCGAAGGTTTACACGCCACAATTTGTTTGAAGAAAATCGGCACACACTGGTGAAACGGTGTGGCCGTTATTTTCATCAACTAAAAAAAGAGGCTTCACCAAAACTTTCTCTACTGACGCAAATACGTGATGATATTTTCGCACTCTATTTCCTCCAAACAACAAGCCGTGAGCGTAGCTACTGTTAATCCATTTGATCATAAACAATACGTTAACGAAGCAGACAAACGACAACTACCCTCGAAGGTTTCTTTAATGCAAACCAACACCTGAAGTATCAGGCTTTTCCCAAATCCAGTTGGCACCACGGCTAGTAGATCCTTTCCAGAACCAGTGTAGAAATTTCTTCCTTTTGTTCGTATCTTAATGCGTGAGACACATTAAATTCCGAAAGACACCTAAGTGCTTCCTCGAAAGCAACTTTATGACTGTCGAAGTGTTCCATCTTTCGCATTTTCCCGAAAGAGCAAAATGACACATTTGGCTTGTGATTCGCAGCTGGAGCTTAACGGCAACAATCAGGTTTTGCAAAATAACAATGACCTCGGACAGGCGTAATCTTCACTCAACACTCCAACGAAACACAAGGGGCTTTAATGCGACCTCTTCTCGTTGAATTCGTTCAGTTTCTGTTGTGCAATTTACGGTACAAATGTCCAAATTGAACGGACTTGGAAAGACTCACCGAAAGCGAATATTTGTTGTAGGACTGCAATTTTAACTTCGCTCGCCCTTTCACTACGAACAAATTGTTTGAGAAAATTCAGATACTAAATGAATTAACCAAATGTAACCATATACCTCTCGTTTTGACTTTCAAGGTACTTTTTGTGAACGATTAATATTAATTGCAGACAGTTTTTAGGCCGCTTGTCAACCAACGCCATGACACTATTGTTTATACAAGTTAATTCTGAAACCAATATTTTTTGTCAACAAAAGTGATTTGAGAGAGGGAAAAAAGAAAGGATTAATAAGATATTTATCGGCTTGCGGTAGTGACCGACGTCTTTGCTCAAAAATACTACCCAGCCGGAAAAACGAGATTTATATATGAAAAATGGCAACGAAAGTAGGGATGTACTCATGGACTCACGAATGCGTTATCGTTGCCCGTGGGCAGAAATAGGAAAATACTGATCGGGTAAAGAACCAATCAGATTGCAGGATTCGTTACCGTGCCTTCTGAAAAAAAAAATAATGAGGCAATTTTTTGTATGATGTGGTCTTGAACAATATTTTTCTTTGAAGATTCAACCTCGCCATCGCCACCGCCATCGTCATCGCCTTCGCCATCGCCATCGCCATCGCCATCGTCATCGCCCTCGCCCTCGCCTCCGCCGTCCCCTTCGCCGTCGCCGTCGCCGTCGCCGTCGCAATCGCCATCGCCATCGCCATCGCCAGTTAAGCAGCTGGTATGTTTTCTTAACAGTCATTTACCCTTTTTACGCATGTCGCTTTCCAGAGTATTCTCTGTTTGAAAATGTGACAGTCATTTTTCTTTAAATTTTAGGCAAAGGAGTATGTTTCAAAATTTGGCGGAATAAATATTACCAATAGGACTTCCATGAAGGTATTTAGTTTTTGCAACTCAAAGGATTTTTAACTTTGATTTATGTTTTTAAACCATAAAAACTAAATATCCGACCTTAGAGGAAAAACCATCATTCTAGCCATATGAGGTGAAAATGACGAGGCTTAAGGCTCGTAAAAGAGTTCGCTAGCCAATGAATACCCTGAACACGATTTGGGGCCTCCTGCGGGATTTTTTTCGCATTTCTAATATCAATTGTACATTTGAGACTGGCTGGTTAAGGACCTGGAAATATTTTATGTAATTGTAGGAGGCTGTAACTGTGTTTGAAGATTTCATCACAAAAATCAAGAACGTCTCAAAAGACAAGGCCGGCATGGAAGAGGTTAAAACACTGAAAAAATCCATCTTTGAGGTGGCAGAGGCCGTCGAGAAATTTGCTCTTAACTATGGCAAGCGACACCTTAGTGCAGGGAAGCCTTCAAAAAGGATCGTTTCCCCAAAAATGGGTAAGGTTGTGGCCTTCAATCCTGTTTAGTTTCAAGGTCTATTCCTTTGTTACTTACTGACTTGCTGACTGATCGATTGCGTTGTCAAATTTCCTTAGATGATGTAAGGACTCAGTTATAAGCCCAACCTATTAGAAACGTTATTGTTCGATGTCATCGATTCATCTGTTCTTGTAATTTCTTTGATACTTTGATTTTTGCGGTGGAGAAAGAAATTCAAGGTATTCTTGAACAATCAACAATAGCGAACTAGAATCTTTCAAATTGTGAAACCCTTCTTCTCACTATGTTTACTGAAACTTTTCTTAAATAATAGATTGGTAAGTACACTTTACTAACTGAAATTGTCAAATCTTACAAATACTTTCCGCATACTTCATCCTATCCACTGAGCTCAAAATTGGCCTATCATCTGCGATGCATATAAATGCAAGATTTTTAACAGTACTCCTAAAAACTCCCTAATGAACTCTACGTTTCTCCAACGAAATAGTTCGAGGAACGAATTGCGTTTTGACAACACCAGTCCGTCCAGAACTACTCACTTTTTCATCAGTTTTACATTGAATAAACGTCGTAAAATGGTTGAAATCGTCGAATAGTCGTTGAAGGGCAAATAAGATGCCGGCGATAAATATCCATCCAATAAGATTTTGAAATATTTGTGTGCGCCGCAAAACGCATGCTTGTGTAGATGTGCTCTTGTAAATTTCATCGTAGGTGCTTTCATTTGTTATTTTTTTTCCGATAGTATTGGCCATTCAAAAGGCCTATCGCCAGAATAAAAGTGGTTTCCACTTTGAGGAACAACAATGGCAAGCGAGAATCGATATTGCTTCTTCAAATTTTGAGGAAAATGGTTCGTATTAACTATTGTGGTAACTTTACAACTTTTAGTATTACCTTGGTTTCTCCAATCGAAATTTCTGTATTGAAATAAAGTCTCATATAAATGCGCCTCCTTAGTTTACATAGTCTATCTTCTTTAATCATTCGCCTTCCTTCTAATGTCACATACCTCAGAGCCTGATAAAATTTCAATTTTGTGAGTTTTTTTGTTCTTGTTTGATAACTTTGTTTGTTGACTTTTGGGGGTTAAAGGATCATTGGTAGTTGCGTTTGTGTACAAGGATCTGCATGACCTACTTCTGACAGATCAAGCCATCAGGAGTGAAACAGACAACCAAAGGTGACATTATTTTCGCATTACTTCATGTCGTTTACCTCCAAAAACACGTAACACGGAAACACATAAGATCTAAGTTCAACTAACCTGAACTTAGAAACTTTCCAAAAACCCTAACGAAGGTTTGAAGACTCCCTGCTTGTCTCTGACCATTCCACCTTTATGAAAAATCCGCTTGAATCTACCAAAATGACGTAATGTTGCTTCCTTGGTTTTGGTCCATTTTCAAATACAATTTCTTCATAGGTATATCAACTCCAGGATAATGGCCGTTACTATGGACCCCAAGCCAGAGACATTGAGAGAAAATGTCACCCTAAGGTTCAAAAACCTAAAGGTAACATGACAATTTGTTGCTATGCGTTGCGTTGATTTATTCTGACAAGATAAAATGTATTTTCAGGTATTGGCAGCGGAGAAACGCTGTATGTTTTGGAGTAACCTCAGCAAAAGGTAAAAAAACTGCAATATATCATTGTATAGTATTTATTCCTTCTTCAATTAAATTTAGTATGGAGGAGAATGAATGGACTTTCTCAGATGTTTTTGTGCAGATTAACACTTCCCTTGAAGCCAACATGTTGTCCTTTTAGAGAGCGGAAGTCTGATTGAAATGTTCTCGCAACCAAGACTACAATGGAAGAAAACCTTAGTGCAAAATTGTGAAACATCACGTCTTCCCCAAACAATGAATCATTTTGTGTCCTATGTTAACTTTACTTTTTTTTCATGTCTGACAGCTTTTCAGAGGAAGGATGTCTTGTAGTTCCATCAAAAAGCAACTCAGAAGAAACAGTTTGCAGCTGCAATCATTTGACGCATTTTGCCGTCTTAATGGACTACGACGGTAGCACAAAGGTGATAAAATTATATTTGCCTTACTGAATAATTTTATTGGGCTCGATGAACTAACTCAATATTCTTCTTAATATTTCTTTTTTTTACACAGCTCACCGAGGAGGACGAAACAATTCTGAAAATTATCACCTATGTGGGACTGAGCCTTTCCATCGTCGGGATACTTGTAACATTAATACTTTATTCTTGCCTAACGTAAGTAATGTACGTGAATAATAATGAGGTAGATTCTTAACTCCTCTCAACAAAGCTGGTAAGAAAAGAGATCTCAGTGCAAATCTCCATGCAAACAAGAACATGCATGTCGGATAATTCACAAATTCAAGCTACAATTCATGCCCCATCAAGAACGCTTGGACAACTCATGGTTTCACAGTCTATGAATTGTTTAGGTTTAGACATTTTTCCGTAATATTTTCCTTTTTGTCCTTTCTGAAGCTATTTACTGACTTTTTCTTTTCTTTGCTGTCAAGATGTAAATAGTTTTTAGCGATATTTTTCTGAGTCTTTTAACTCAATTTTGTTTTGTTTTGTTGTTATTGTTGTTGTTGCTTTTGTCTCGATTATTCTTTGCGTTTTTAATATTATTTCACCAGAGATGTTCGTCAACCTCTCTCTCAAATTCGACTGAGTGTTTCTATGTCCCTTGGAGCTGGACAGATCATCTTCCTAGCCGGAATAAACGCCACTGAAAACAAAGTAAGTAGCCTCTCGTTCTATCCATAGAAGCAATTTCCTCTTTGCACCCTAATTATCTTGTCGAAAGGAGCACATTTATAATTACACTGAAACTCTTTCTTTTTACAGGCTGCCTGTATTACAATAGCAGCTCTGATGCAGTATTTCTTGATGACTGCTTTCTGTTGGATGCTGATCGAGGGAATTTATCTCTACTTCTTCGTTGTAAAAGTTTACAACATTAACACCAAGATGTACATGTATCACGTCATCTCATGGGGTGATCATGAGTTTATTGTTTTAAAACATGCTCTGGTAACATGCACTGGTAACTGTAACCATGCTTTCGGATCGCCAAATCTGGTGTTGCCATGCAATGAAGTGTTTCCATTTCCTTCCTTTCTTTATGGGCAGGTCTTCCAGTGATCATGGTGGCCATGTCACTTGGCATCGCTGCTGGAAAAGAAGGGTTACAAAGCTATACGAGTGATAACTAGTAAGAAAAAAATTCAAGGGTTTCTTCTTGCTCTTCTCCTTTTAATTTGTTGCATTTGATTCTCTGTTTTGTTTTTGCATATAGTTTGAAGTCGGTATCATTTAATTTGCTGAAAATTCGTGTTTCTTTCTTGTGTTTCACTTCTTCGAGTTTAGTTGCTGGCTTTCCTCGACTAACAACCTGATCTGGATATTCGTCGCCTTTGTGGCTTTCATTGAAGTTGTGAGTTTTTAAAAAACGAATTAAGTATTTATGATATGACCCCACACAATATTTATCATTTTCCTTTTCCTATTTACTCACAAAAAAACTTTGGACGTAACTGCTATTTGCGAGGATGCTGGTCAATTCTAACCTAGTGATGGCCTTCAATAGCGAGTAAAACCTGTTGACACAATGTCTTCCTAGGCAAAAGATAGCTTCATAAATTCTCCAACTTTAAATAAATGGTATGAGAAAAACGATTATTCCCCTTCCTTGTTGATGTTTTCTTACTGTTTCACATTGATAAAACAAGATATGTATTTTGCGCAAAAAAAACTCTTAAAAACACTGAACAAGATTAAAGGAGCAGGGAGCAGGAGATATTAAATTTATGTAATTTAACATGAGGATTAACTTTACATAGATCATTCAGTTCAGACACTTTAGTTCACGACTTCTTTTGCTCATTTTCAGAGAATCAAAGCTCATAATCTAGGTCCCCCGGTTGGGAGTTCTATTCCCTGTAGATGACACTTCATCCCACGTTTGTTACCAAGCTAGTAACGTCTTTGGCAAGGATCCTCTCCTGCTTTGGCTATTCGATAACCATATCCAAATAATACATTTATTTCTATTGTATTTTTCAGCTCAACATCTTGATACTCGCACGAGTCATAAAGGAGATGACCAACTTGTTGCAGCCAACAGGAGAAGACGACCATTCCCAGCAGATACGGTAAGATTTACAGCCTAAAACTAAAGCAAAATAGTGCAAGTAGTTGGCCTGCCCTCCTGCGAGGCTTTATTCGCCTAACTTCCTCATTTCCTAATTAGTAACGTCTTACGATACCTAAAACAGAAAATTCATTGTCAAAGGAAAATAAAGAAATGTTTTCTTTTTAATTCGTAGAATTGGCATTAAAGCATGCGTGGTGATGATTCCCCTGCTGGGCGTCACGTGGCTATTTGGTCTCCTCTCGCCTGTACATAAAGCTTTCGTTTACATCTTCACCATACTTAACTCTTCTCAGGTCAGTGTTCGATGGTAACTCTCAAAATTATTCAATCTCTATCATTATTTTACATTCTCACCAAGTGAGACACCATTACAATTGTCACAAGATATTTTTTGGAATTTTGAAAACAAAAATGCTATTAATTATGCAGAAAAAGACAGGCTTCTTTTTTAATCATAAGATATGACATTTTCTTTCCTCCCTGGAAATCCTAATAGATATTTGACTAATTTGTTTGCATATTGTAAAAATTAGTGATCTTAAAATCATTTT